TAGATATAGATATAGATATAGATATAGATATAGATATAGATATAGATTAATCGCTGCGTATGTGAATGTGGATCGGTTTTTCTTTTAGTAATCTATGTACATACATATGTGCATAAGAATGCACAATACGCAAACACTTTTTTATATGTGTATAAAGTTAGCGAAACAATATCAAGAAAAAATGTCGCATAAACCCATGAATTTGCCGTTAATTAGTTGTGGAAAAAATATCTTTATAGCTCTGGTATTTTTGTAGATATAAGGTTTTTTGCACCAATCTCGAAGACAAAAGACTAGGCTTTATGTCAAAATTTGCCGTTTTTTTCCGTTCTAAGATGAGCTAGTAGTTTACTTTTGAAAAAAATTTTTTTTGCAATTTTTTTTTTGTCCGATATTCAATAATTTTTAGAAGAAAAGGATAATAATATAATAGAAAAGCAAACCCGGTTTCTTTATGTACCACTTTGAAATTTGAACAAACAATAATCACCATGGTTAAAATTCAAAAAATTAAGAAGCTTCCTTATCACAAATAAACGACAAAATCAAAAACAGTTTTAATGCACAAAACATTTCAAACGACAAATTATGCAACAGAAAAATTAATTATTTTTATTATTTTTAACCAATTTTTAAACCGCTTTCCATGTGCCAATTATTATTTTTTTTTTAAATAAGGCTCTTTAAACGAAAAACAATTAAACGACAAAATCATAAACAAATTTAGTGCACAAAACCAGCCAAACGGCAAATTACGTCACAAAAAAATTAATTGTTTTTATTATTTTTAACCAATTTTTAAACCGCTTTCCAAGTCCCTATTTTTTTTTTAATAAGACTTTTTAAACAAAAACAATTAAACGACAAACTCAAAAATAGTTCTAATGCACAAAACAAGCCAAATGGCTTAATGTGTTTAATTGGTTTTTGTTTAAAAAGCCTTATTAAAAAAAGAAATAGGGACTTGGAAAGCGGTTTAAAACTTGGTTAAAAATAATAAAAACAATTAATTTTTTGTTGCATAATTTTCCGTTTGGATTGTTTTGTGCTCTAAAAATGGTTTTGATTTTGCCGTTTAATTGGTTTTTGTTTAAAAAGCCTTATTAAAAAAATATGGACTTGGAAAGCGGTTTAAAAATTGGTTAAAAATAATAAAAAACATTTAATTTTTTGTGACATAATTTGCCGTTTGGCTGGTTTTGTGCACTAAAACTGTTTTTGATTTTGTCGTATAATTGTTTTTTGTTTAAACGGCCTTATTAAAAAAAAATAGGCACTTGGAAAGCGGTTTAAAAATTGGTTAAAAATAATAGAAATAATTAATTTTTGTTGCATAATTCGCCGTTTGAATTGTTTTGTGCATTAATACTGTTGATTTTGTCGTTTAATTGTGATAAGGAAGCTTCTTAACTTTTTGAATTTTAACCATGGTGATTATTGTTTGTTTCAATTTCAAAGTGGTACATAAAGAAACCGGGTTTACTTTTCTATTATATTATTATCGTTTTCTTCTAAAAATTATTGAACATTAAAAAAAAAATTGCAAAAATTTTTTTGTTTTTTTTTAAATTTGTTTTTCAAAAGTAAACTAGCTCACCTTAGCCCATTAGTGCGTGAAGTTCCCTGGCGCTATACTTACCTTTTTTTTATCATTATGCATTGTAATAAGTCTAATAAAGTAGTTTTAATTCGATTTATTAAAAAAAATTTGTTTTGGGGGTTTTGGGGACCGTCCCTTATAAGGGACACTATGCAGTATGGGCATTTGAAGTGTGATATTACTTGAAGCATTCTTTCGGATGAAGCCCTTTCTCGCACTTTAAAAAGTTAGACTTCTTTCCGCAATAGGCACATCTCTTATCCGTATTCGAGTACTCAATCATATGGTTTTTTCCATCGTAGCGCGCATCAGGATTGATGCTGGTTCTACTCGATCCTCTTGAGGACGGCATTCCGTATCTCTCTAGATACGAATTGGCTATGTACCTGCGAAAAATTAGCAGAGTGCCACAATTTGGGTCGTTCGGATGAACTTTCCGCATAAGGATCCATGCGTTTACGATCGATGCGTCCAACAAATATGCAAATATGGGCCACCACCACTTACGCTGTCTAATTCTAGACCGGTACACAGCCACCATCTGGTCCATTTTATCAACGCCTCCCATGCCTTGATTATAGCGCTGAAGAAGTTTCGGCTGTGGTATCTGTATCGCACCTTGCCCTCTCGCGTAGCGCTTGCACGTCCCGATATCGTTGGTATCAAAGTTGGAGCCAATGCTCACCACATTATTATCTTTCCATCTTACAACGAGAATCTTGCCATCGTCAGTAAAACGAAAATCGCTGGATCCTCGCTGCTCCTTTTTCATGGCGGCTATTGGACGAAGAGGACACTTCTCTATGCGACCGTCTCTAATTGTACCAGATGTACAAATCCCCATACTGGCCAAATTGCGCAACAGTTTCACGGACGTAAAATAGTTGTCGATGAAAAGCTATAATGTAAATTATATTATTATTGTAATATCATATGACGAACATTTCATTTCTTACCTTGAATCCCTTATGGTGTGGTACATTTGCTTTCGTGAGGAGATCAACCACTTTGTCACCTCCTACTCCATATCCTTGTGGGACGCTCTCTGCATTTTTGCCCATATACACATCGAACTGAAGCATATATCCATCGCTGGAATTCAGAGCCCAGTTTTTGAATCCAAATCGAATGGGCTTACCACGGATATATTGTTTAGCATAGTGCCTACCATAATACGGTATCATGCTTTCATCAATGGAGAGATTCTCGTCCATTCCACCATGCTTTAGAAACACCTCGTTCAGGTGAGTAATTAGTCGCCTAATTTTGTAAAGCCGATCGGTACCCTGGGCTTGCGTGTTGTCATTCAGATGGAAATTATTTAGAATTTTCTCAAATCAATTTAGCCTCATGCTGTTCGCTAGCAATCTTGGCGAATCAGATTTCTCCGACCAATACAAACGTTTGTTGGGGTATTTTGCGTACCCCGACATCAAAATACCGCCAATAAAAACTCTCGCCTCGTCCATACTCATTCTCAGGTCAACATTTTTCTGAAGAGCATATAAATTTGTCTGCTCAACACAAAAATTTATAATTCCTTCAGAAAAAAATAGCTCAAAGAAATCAGTAGGCGAACTGGCGGCTTGAGCTTCGGCACTCGGCGGTATTGTTTCGCATTCCGTTTGAATGTCGTACACCGGGTCCACTTTTCGCCAACGCAAGGCATTTCCCGCACGCACACTCGAACTGACGGTTTTTCTGTATTTAGCCAGTGGCTCATCGTCACTGTCACTCCAGTCATCGAATTCGTCTTGGATCTCGCCTTCCGCAGTCAATAATTTCGGGCCGAGATGATCCAAGTTCGCCTCGTGTTCGTCATCACTACCGTCCGAATCCTGGTCGGTCTCATTTTCCTCCAATGGTGGGATTGCAAAAATGTTAAGTTCTTGCAACTGACCATCAAAAGCTTCGATCTCTTCCAGTATTTCAGCCACTGTTAGTCTGTAATAAAATATTATTGTTGTAATAAAATATTATTGTTAACTGTCCTGTCTGCATAGCGTCCCTTATAAGGTACGTTGGATAAATAACGGTATTATTCACAAATTACAATATTTTTATCACTCACAACAACTTAAATTTGTTTATTACAATAAATTTAAGATAATTGCATTTAAAATTGTAAAATAATTTCACCTGTATTTATTTGTTATTCACATTTACTTACCTCCCACGTGTTCTGATATTTTTTTTTAGTTGTTGTTCCATATTTCGAAAAAAAATCACACAATTTAAAGCTTACTGCACTGCAATCAATCACAAACTGGTTTGGTGTAATAGCAACAACTATACCATCAACTTACATGAGATCTGTATTGCAAAATGGGAGAGTAAGAGAGCAAAAGCTGACCGTCCCTTTAAAGGGACCTTATGCACTAATGGGTTAGAACGGCAAAAAAAGGCAAATTTTGACATAAAGCCTAGTCTTTTGTCTTTGAGTTTGGAGGGATGCTTTGCTTACTTTATATAAAGTTAGCAAAACACCTTATATTTATCTAAAAAAATACCAGAGCGACAAAATTATTTTTTCCACAACTAATTAACGGCAAAAAAACGGCAAATTCGTGGGTATATGCGACATTTTTTTCTTGATGTTTTTTCGCTAACTTTATACACATCTTTTTTATCGTATCAGATCTGTTCGTTCGATTTTTCAAAATGAGGTATCAAATTAAGTAATTCTTCAGTATCCGACTAGCAGTCATATCATACGGTCGTGGTGCGCTTATTGTTCGTTAATTCTTCTTTCTCTGTATTCTTACAATTAGGAGTACAATAACAAACTGATCTTTCTGCTTTGTTACCTGCTGACTAAAATAACCACACGTGTTTGTAAAAAGTTATCAGCATGGCCCCTGGGGCCCCAAAACTCGGGGATAATAGATTTGCCTTATTATCCCCACCCACCCGTGCTAAACGTAAAAAAACTACAAATATTAGTGAAGAGTTTCCCGAGCTTCCAGTGACGAAAAAAGACGACCCTAAATTCGTAACAATAAAACCAAAAGACTCAAATAAAGCATTCACCGAATATTCAAATTTTGCATTACATAAATCTCTTCTTTCCATATGTAAGCAAATTAATTCTATTTCTCAACAATCCGACGGCAGCTTAGTGGTCCTGGTGAAAAATCGTGAATATGCGAAAAAGTTTATAGATGCCCGCTTACTTCCTGGTCTGTGTGCAATTACCGCCAACTACCACGATAACCTCAACTGCGTTAAGGGCACTGTATATGTCCCTTTCCTCAACAACGTCCCCGAAAACGAAATCGTCGATGGCTTGAAAGAGTATAACGTAACAAACCTTTATAAATTCCAACGTATTACAGAAGGAGTCTCTAAACCCACAGGAGTAATCTTAATTTCTTTCGACAACTACTTTCTCCCGGACAAGATTGACATCGCATGGATCACCACCAAAGTACGTCCCTTCTACCCGAACCCCATGCGCTGCAAAAATTGCCAGAAGTTAGGGCACACGCTCAAGTTCTGCAAAAATATGCCAGCTTGCCAATCATGTAATCTCCCCCCTCACACACCCGCTCCATGCATCCGCACCTACTGTGCAAATTGTGCAGGCGAACATGCTGCTTCATCCAACTCGTGCCAGAAATATCAGCAAGCGAAAGAAATCATGAAAATAAAAACGCAAGAAAAATGCACTCTGCGCGAAGCGAACAAAATATACAAAACCCGGAACCCTCTCTCCCTGAATCCAAACTCACTCGCTAACATTATAAAAGAAAATAGTTCAAACCAAATATCAAAAGCAATGCAAAATAGTAGCACTAACTACAGCCCAATGACTCAAGAAAATCCATCAATAACAACTTTATATTCAACAACAACACCAATCAGCAAACCCATAGTCCCAAAAACCAGTTTTCCCTCCGCCTACCCCACCATCAACAATCAATCACAACCAATTGACACAGTAGAACCAACAACAGACACTGCTAATTTTGGTACAACAACGACAACAACACCAGACGACCTCTCTCATATTACAGCACTTCATTCGCTCCGCTTTGAAAATGATTCAGTCGCTTTTAGTATTGCAAATCTCCCACCTTTCGAACACTCAAATAGCATGGAATTGGAAGCAGCACAACAATCAACTCAAAATTTTCATTCGACAAGCAATATACATCTTACCAACAACTTAAATGATTTTACCAACTCGTCTACATCATCAGCAGCTAAAGAATACATAACATCGAAAGTTATACAAAACAACAATAAGTAAAACTACTTTATTTTACAAACGACTACTAATTACATACAAACATACAAATTTAACCAAATTAGATAGTTTATACATTTAAACAACATATACATATACACCTATCTGATATACGTAGTTATTTAATATTATGCTTAAAATTGTACAGCGGAATATCAGAGGATATTTAAATAATTATAATGATATCGACTTAATTATCCGGGACATTCAACCCGATATAACATGTCTGCAGGAAACCAAGATTCCTATCAATTTAAAAAATCGTATAGTTCCTAAGTCTTTTATTGGCTACTTTACTAACTCTGCACAAAATAACAGTTCCAAAGAAGGTGCAGCCACTCTTGTTAAACGAAACATTCCCCATAAGTTAGTAACACAATTTAACTCGATCCAATCAATCGCAATAGAAATTTATATACCCTCCCCTATTACACTCATCAACGCCTACATTCCACCAACACAAAACTTTACTGAATCTGACATTTTTTCCATACTCCCACGATCACATGGCCCCTCGATATTTCTGGGCGACTTTAACGCTTGGAGCCCATTGTGGGGATCAAAAAAATCTAACGCTCGTGGTAAAACAATTGAAAACATTATCATGTCCAGAAACTTAACCCTCCTCAATGACGGCTCCCCTACCCATTTCTCCACCCATGATTCCTTTACCCATATCGATCTAACTCTAGCTTCGTCCCAACTAATTCCCAAATGCACTTGGAAAAGAATTGATGACTTGTATGGTAGTGATGACTACCCGTTACTTACTGAAGTACTTTCTAACCTACCAACTAGCAACCTAATAAAATCACCAAAATTCAATACCGATGCCGCCAATTGGCATCAATATCAATCTTCATGCGAGGAAAATTTCAGGACTGGAGCACTAATAATATCCATAAACTCACAGCTAATATTACTAAAGCCATCAGATCAGCTGCCAATATCGCCATACCTCAAAGTAACACTACCCCGATAAGAAAGTATTCCGCATGGTGGAACAGAGATTTGCACGTCCTAAGGGTTAACAAACAAAGACTCTGGCATTCCTATAAACTATCTCCATCTGTAGACCTCCTTGTGGCCTACAAAATAGCTAATGCACAGTTCAAAAAATCTGTAAAAGAAGCCAAAAGGAAGGCAATCTCCAACTTCACTTCCGATGTCAACCCATCCTCTACACCTAAGAAAATCTGGGCCAAGATTAAAGCTCTTACCGGTATCCCCACACCACCCATAAAACTAATTCAATTACCAAACCGCTCCCTCACAGCAGCATCAGCAATAGCCAACGCTTTCGGTAAAACCTGGTCAGAGTATGCAGAAAACTCCAGCTTCCCAACTGACTATACTAACCGCAAAATTTCAATACTATCACATAACTACAAACCACTAAATGTCTCGAGGGATGCAACTTGTTTGGAAGCCGAATTCACTTACGTCGAACTGGAGCTTGCCCTTCAGCATGCCAAAGGGAAAACGTCGGGGAGAGATCGTATATCCTATCCTATGTTACGAAATCTTCCAAAATCTGCGAAGAACGCATTGCTATCCTTATACAACAAAATACTCGATGACGGTACCTATCCCCATTCGTGGTTATCCGCTTCTGTCCTCCCGATACCGAAACCAAACAAATCCCCAGAACTTATTAATAGCTATAGACCTATATCCCTCCTTTCATGTCTTGGAAAAAATACTCGAAAAAATGCTTACACAACGTCTTATGTGGTTTATCTCTAAAAACACCCTTGTTAGCCATAATCAAGTGGCCTTTAAGAGAAAGCACGGCGTCCTTGACTGTCTGCTCCCTCTTCAGCATTTTATTACTGATGCACTTTCAACCAAGAATCACGTTACCATCCTCTCCACCGATTTCGAAAAAGCTTTCGACTGTATAGGAGCCCATGTTGTTTTAGAGCAATTGTCCAGCTGGCGTATAGGACCAAAGGTATATAATATTATAAAATCATTTCTTACCGGACGGAAATTCCAAGTCAAAGTTAATGGCGAATCTTCATACCCCTTTCCCCTTGGAAACGGTATTCCACAAGGCTCACCACTATCGGTTGTACTCTTTACAATAGCCTTCGAAAAGCTCAACAAAATAGCAAGCAAATTCAAATCAATAGACTTCCGAATCTATGCCGACGATGCAATTTTTTATACTAAAACAAAAGATCCTTCAACAGTCGAAAGTGATTTCGCCAACTTGCTACACGACATCAATGCTTGGGGCCAATACTCAGGCACTACACTGACCTACAGA